AAAAAAAAAAAAAAAGAATGTTTTCTCTGCGTGTTCATGTGGCTAACCCCCTTACCTGCTGTGTAAGCTGTTGCTCAAGTGCTACCTTAGTGGGGTCTACACCGACCACCCTAAGCAGCAACCTACCCCCGACTCACCTCCCAGCAACCCACCCCTCTGTGTTTTCCTTTTTCTTTTCTTTCTTAACACTTACCACCTCTTGCGTAATATATTATTTTCTTATAATATTACCTGCTTATGGTTTATTTTCTGTCTTTTCTAGCTATGAGGTAAACTTCAACAGACAAGGATCTTTATCCAATTTTTTCATTGATACATCCCAAGCTATTGGATATATCACACAATGCCAGATATATAGAGGTGCTCAGTAAATATTAAATAGGCAAATAATAAATAAAATTGAAATGCAAAGGACAAAATAGACAAATAAGAAGGAACTTAGAAAAAAACAGAAATGATGGGGGCACCTGGGTGGCTCAGTTGGTTGAGCATCTGACTTCGACTCAGGTCATGATATTGCAGTTCCTGGGTTTGAGTCCCACATCAGACCATGGAGCCTACTTCAGATTCTATGTCTCCCTCTCTCTTTCTGCTCCTTCCCCACTCATGCTCTGTCTCTCTCTCTCTCCCTCTCAAAAATAAATAAACATTAAAAAAAATTTTTTTAACTTTTTTTTTAACATTTATTCATTTTTGAGAGGGAGGGACAGACTGTGAGTAGGGGAGGGGCAGAGAGAGAGAGAGAGGGAGACACAGATTCCGAAGCAGGCTCCAGACTCTGAGCTGTCAGCACAGAGCCTGAAGCAGAGCCTGAACCCACAAACCATTAGATCACGATCTGAACCAAAGTCGGATGCTTCACCGACTGAGCCACCCAGATACCCCAAAAAATTTTTTTCAAAAAGAAAAAGAAAAAGCAGAAACGATACATGGAATTTAAAAATATATTATTATTGAGGGGCTCATGAGTTCGAGCCCCGTGTCGGGCTCTGTGCTGACAGGTCAGAGCCTGGGGTCTGCTTCAGATTCTGTGTCTCCCTCTCTCTCTGCCCCTAACCCATTTGCATTCTGTCTCTGCTCTCTCAAAAATAAATAAACATTAAAAAATATATATTATTATTAAAGTCCTCTGATATAAGAGAATAAATTGCTTCCATAAAACAAAAAAGGGATGATTTAATAGCAGCAGCAACAACTAAAGAACAATGAAAGAATAAAAATTAATTATTAGAAATTGAAATTGATATCTGAAACTTTTTTAAAAGATCAGTAACCAATCAGACAACACAAAGAAATAAAAGGCATCCAAGTTGGCAAG